TCGATAGTGAGATCGACAAGTGTCCCGTGGTGTCCCGTGGTGTCCCGTTGAGTGAGAGCGATAGTGAGATCGATTGAGTCAGATGTTGGTTCCCCCCCCTTTCTCCCCCCCCACACAACCTCCTTATCACCCGAAGGGTGGTCGTGTAGGTATTGGCATGCTGAGGTTCCTCTTGGTGCCGGGTTGGCGGCCGCTCATGGGGTGCCTCGCGGGTGCCCCGTGCGCTGGGCAGGTATCCTCCCCGGTTTCCTGGCCCCGACCCTCCTCTCCGAGCATCCGGCCGCCTCAGGCATCTCGAAGCGAACAGCACGGAGGCTACGAGCATCTTCCAGACCGCTCTCCTCAGAGCGTGCTCCCTCCACGGCCCTGGTGAACTTGTGTGTCTTTTCCTTGCTCACTTGGCATGTTCTGCGCATCGTGCAGATCGGCCCACATGCATCTTTCTGAAAGCGAGTAGAGGTGATTTGCATCGGTTCTGCGGCATCTAGGCAGTGGTGCGTGAGTATGGCCAGATGTCGCTGAGGCAGCTCGGGCCCAATGGCCGCACATTGTGGCGCAATTGTGGCTAGAGCTTAAGCGCGCGAATCGCCATCTTGCCTGGGCGATTGCGGAGCCGTCTGGGACAACCTCGGGGGCTCTGGGGCCGCCCTGAGGCGATCTCGGGACATCTCGGGAGCAACTAGTTGGATCGGTAGAAAACATCGAAGAGACAATGCAATTGTGCATGTGTGCGTGTGTACGTGTGTTTCCTCTCTGAACCTGGCGCGCGCGGGGCCCCGGTCACTGCACTTGACTTCCTCCGCCTCGACGCCGCGCGCGAGGCCGCAGCCGCCAAAAAGTGTGTGCGTATATATATATATATATATATATATATATATGTGTGTGTGTGCGCGCGTGCGTGTCCATGTTGGGCTGTTTCGATCCAGCCCGTGTCGTCGACAGTCTAAGGCCCGTACGAGTTTGAGATCGTGCCTTTCAGCAAGATCAACCCGAACGATTACATGACGATCTCCATACGCGGCGTCACGCACTACTCGAACGGGGAGCTCGACTACCAGGATCGGGTCGGACGAAAGGAGCAGGAGGCGCTTTCCTCGATGCATTGGGTCCTCTGGCGCCAGCAGGTTCTGGGGAAGCCAGCTAAGTGAGCTGATTCGCTAGCCCCCGTTTTGCTATAATCCCCCCTTCTCGTCCGCCCCGGCAGGACCTCTCCGAATGGCAGAGGGACCAGGAGATGTACAGGAAGATTGTGCGGATCGAGTTTTTCGAGAAGTATCAGCGCTGGAAGCTTTTTTCTGTCTGGAAGAGCGCCATGCGCAACCAGCGCGTGCAGAAGTGCTCAAGGACGCTCAACGCGCACCTCTTCGCGCTGGACATGACGCTGCGCGACTCGCTCATCAAATGCCGCGCCCTGTGTGTCAAGATCTCGGGCGTGAACCTGCTGGAGATCAAGGAGATGATCGTGTACGAGCTGAGCGAGTTCGAGAAGGTGCAGGGCGAGAAGCGGAAGAGCGTGGTGAATGAGTTGCAGGACGTGTGGGCGAAGATCAAGGACGAGCTGCTGATCTCCTGCACGAGGAGCCTGCAGAAGTTCCTGGAGGACAACGGCTTCGGCCAGAGGGCCCAGGACAAGGACGAGGCCAGGAGCCAGGAGGGGGACCGGGAGGAGCAGGACGGGGGCGACGCCGAGGGCAAGTCCTACACGGAGCGCGCCACCCGGCGGACCCAGTGCAGGAAGCTGACGAAGTTCATCCGCATGGTGCAGTATCTCTTCAATGACGCGATAGCCAAGATGGTGCGGAACACCACCGAGCTCCTGCTCGGCCTCCTGGAGGCCAGAGCTCGACCCAAACGGTGCTCTGGCGATCTCGCGGACCACTTTCGTTCTGCTTCCGCTTTGTTGCAAGGGTGGATCGGAGACAGAGCGAGGGACAGCGAACACTGATGATGAGGAGGAGGAAGAGGATGAGGAAGAGGATGATGATGATGAGGAGGAGGAGGACGAGCACGAAACGCACTGTTTTGGTCGAGCCCTGCTGGAGGCCTTCGCGGAGGACCCAGAGGATCAGGGGCAACGTTAAGCGGGCATGGGCTCAGGGGCAGATGTGCATTGAGCCCCGATCGTTAAGCCTGGCATGTGCCCCTACATGAGGAATTTTTGAAGATAGTAAAACATTTTTCAGGGGACGATTGTTTCTAGTATTTGTGAACATGTTCGGGTATCTTTATGAGTCTGTTCCATTTGTCGCCCAGCATCCGCCTGTAGGAGGACACGCCCGACCTCACCCTATCGCCCATTCATCGCCAAGGGGGGCCCGACAGCCCACGCCTCCCAAGAGCGTGCGGAGTCGCTATCGGGGGCCTGTCGCCGATCCGTCGGCGATGCACCGCCGATTCCGGGTCGATAACTCTCCCCCCGGAGCTGGCCCCCTGGTTGTTTTCGGATCACAGCTCGGACCTCCGGCGGCCGTTCGGCACGGCCCGGTCACCCGGGCCCTCCCTTGGCGAGCCGCAGCCGCTGGCAGGCATCCCGAGGCTGGAGAACGGACGAGAACCGACGAAGCCGTCCGATAACCTTCAGGAGGAGATAAAACACAAGACACAATTAATCGTCGATTCCCCAGAAAATATAGGAAAATATGGGAGGTGGCGGGGAAGACAAAAACCCAGCAAATCTATAGGAAAATATGAGGAATCCTTTTATCTATGTGTATTTATTTGTGTGTCCTGGGGCCCCTTCGTTCTCGGAGGAGCTTGCCTTGGAGGACCAGGACGGCGGAGCCGGCGGGCAGCAGCAGCAGCAGAAGCCGAAGGGCCGCAAGCCCAACTTCAAGCTCGAGTGCCTGCTGGGCAGCCAGCTGGCCGGGCTCGTCTTCGAGCCCACGGGGGCCAGCATCCGCGACAGCATCGAGGCCTGCCTGCGGGAGGCGATGCGCTCGGTCTCGAACATGAGGGCCTTCCTGCAGGTGGAGGACTTCAGCACCGTGCAATCCACACAGTCCTGCTCGCGTCGTAGAGCAGAAGCACGATGGGAGGTGTTGGGCAGTCGGCCTCCGGGGGCCGCTCGCCTGGCCCTGGTAATTACCGTCGGAGACGACTCGGTATGGAAGATCTGCCCTGGGGAAAGGGTCGGGACATCTTATTGAAACTTCAGGACACCTTACTGAAACACCTTACGACCTGCAGCTACACCCTAATTGAAACATCGGGGCATCGCAGGTCTGGCAACTCATCCTCCCCACCCCCACGGGGCCATGGCATCTCAGCCCCAGCAGCTCACCCTCCCAGGTGGGGATTGGCCCACGACCCCCCAAGAAGTAGGCATATTATCACCACCACCACCACCGCCACCACCACCGCCACCGCCACCACCACCACCGCCACCACCACCACCTCCACCTCCACCACCTCCACCACCGCCCGCCCGCCCGCCCGCCCGCCCGCCCGCCCGCCCGCCCGCCCGCCCGCCCGCCCGCCCGCCCCCCACCCACCCACCCACCCACCCACCACCACCATCACCACCTACAAGACTCGTCAAAGATAAACTGACGGTTATTTAATCGCTTCGCTCATTCCGCCGGCCCATATTGTCGCACCGTTGTGGGCTAGCCGAGTTTTGGGGCCTCTTGGGGGCCGTTTTTGGGCCTCTTGGGGCCTCTTTTGGGCCTCTTGGGCGCCTCTTGGGGCGTCTTGGGGGCCTCTTGGGGCCTTTTTGGGGCCTCCTGGGCGCCTTCTGGGGCGGAGGGCTCGATTTTTCAGTTCTCGGTTCTCCTCTTGAGCCCCTCTTGGGCCCGTCTTGGGGCCTCTTGGTCCGTCTTGGGCGGCACTTGGGCCGTCTTGGGGGCCCTCCTGGGCCGTTCCGGGGCCGTCTTGGGAGCCTCGTGGGCCGTCTTGGAGCGGTCTTGGGGGCCTCTTGGGCCGTCTTGGAGCGTCCGGAAGCCGAAAAAGCCAGAACGCAAAAAACATAAAAAAAACAATGAAAATCAACGATTTTGGCCTCTTGGGGCCCTCTTCGGAGGCCTCTTGGAAGGCCCTTGGGGCGTCTTGGAGGCCTCTTGGGCTGTCTTGGGGCCCTGTTGGGCGTCTTCGGGCGATCTTTGGCCGTCTCGGGGCCCTCTTGGACCGTCTTGGAGGCTTCTTGGGGACCTCTTGGCCCGTCCTGGGGCCCTGTAACAGGGCTCCGGCATCTCTGGCCCGACCTTGCCGGGACCTTGCCGGGACCTTGCCGGGGTACTTTTCGTCCGGGGACCCCCAGGGGCCGCCCCGCGCGCGCGAACTAGAAATACTGTTAACCAGGTACCGGAGATCTTAGCACGCCCTGGCCCGTTGGGCCGGCAAATTGTTTTCGGTGCTTGCGTGGTCGGCGCTACCCCAATGCTGGCATGAGATATTTGGCCCTGGCGCAGGGGTGTCCGAACTAATCTGGCAACCCCCTCACAGCATTGAAGAACGCGCCTTTGACAATTTTCCGAAGTATCGAGCGCCACGATTTTGAATTGCTTGGTAATTCATTTTTAACCAGGCTTGTATGTCGGTAAGTCGGTCAGTGGGGCCAAGGCCACGCCAGCGGGAATGGGGATCGGTTAAACGATGCTTAGGACTTCAGCCCCTTCACTGCGCCGCTCGCGGAACTGGGCGACGCCCTGCAGCTGGAGGACCAGCAGCAGGACCTGTACGGCCTCGTCGCCGGCGACCCCAAGTACAAGGAGCTGATGCAGCTGATCGGCGTGCGTTACGACGGCCTGTTCTCGCGTGTGGTTGGCTACACGGACGGCTTCAAGGAGTTCGTGGAGCTTTACTACGAGAACCAGGCGCTGGAAGACCCCAGGGAGACCTTCGCGGAGGCTTCGCTGGAGGAGTTCCGGGCGGCCCTCGCAAAGTACAAGCAGCAGACCGAGGACATCCGCGCTCTCCCTCGCACGAGTGACATCGGCCTGTTCCGGCTGGACTGCAAGCGCTTCCAGGAGACCTTGTTGCCATCACCGATGCGCTGCAACCAGCTGCTGTCGGAGTACATCCCGCAGCTCGCCATGCAAAAGCAGGCGGAGCTGAATGCGGAGATCAAGGCGGCGAACGACCGCTTGGCACAGTACCCCAGCAATGTGGACGAGTATGTCGAGTTCCAGATCCACTTGACGAAGGTGGACAACGATATGCCCGAGGTGGAACGCCGGTACGTGGAGGTGCAGGAAATGGCAGACATAATCAAGGAATACTCCATCCGCATCGACAACGATACGCGCAACGCCTTCAAAGACTTGGTGGCCGCGAAGAATCAGCTGAATGTTCAAGTCAACAGTGGCAAGGAGCGCGCAGAGAGCGACGTGACGCACTTTAGCAAGGCCCTTGAAAGCGACATCCCAGAGTTGCACAACCGGGTGAAGCAACAGCAGGAGCGGCTTGCGATGCCAGATTTCAAGGATGTCAGCAAGATGTCTGGAGAGTCGCGCAAGGCCGTGCTCGAGCTGCTGAACGAGATCGACGAGAACGTCAAGAACTCGATCAGCGACGCCCAGAAGTTCAACCGATACCAGGACGTTCTGAAGGCCGAGCCCACCAACTTCGAGAACGTGGAAGAGCTGAAGATGGAGTTCCAAGCTCACGCCAAGCTCTGGCGCGGCATAGACCAGTGGGAGGATCTCAGCGTAGAGTGGAACCAAACGCCCTTCGGCACGGTGGACGTGGACAGCATCACCAAGAAGGTCATGGAGTTCAACAAGGTCGCCGTGCAGTCGACGAAGGCGATGGAGGGCAACGAGGTGCCGGGGATCTGGGCCGGCAACGTGGCGCAGTTCAAGAACACCCTCCCCGTCGTCGTCGCCCTCCGCAACAAGGCGCTGAAGGAGATCGAGGGGCGAGCAGCCGCAGAGGCCCGAGCTCTCGGAGCTCCGCGCGGATCTCTCGGATCGGCCGTGGGACCCCCGCTGGGGGCGCCCCTGGCGCCGCCCCTGGCGCGTGCTGCCTGGCCGCCAGGCAGCGGGGCCCCGCGCCATGCCAAGTGATCCGCGCCGACCTTGGAGAGTTCATGCCTCCTCCTCCTCCTCTTCCTCCTCCTCCTCCTCCTCCTCCTCCCTCCCTCCTTCCCTCCCTCCCTCCCTCCTCCTACTCCTCCTCCTTCTGCTGTGTGTCCTGCCCCTCCCAGGAGAGGCACTGGGAGCTGATCACGAAGATGATCGGCGAGAGGCTGGACCTGGAGGACGCGGAGTTCACGCTCGGGAAGCTGCTGGAGATGGGGGTGGACCAGCACATGGAGGCGATCCAGGAGGTCTCCGGCAAGGCCACCGCCGAGCAGGCCCTGGAAGAGATGCTGGCGAAGGTGGAGAAGACCTGGTCGGAGGAGATGCTGGTGGTTAACGCCTACAAGGACAACAAGGACGTCTTCATCCTCGGCTCCGTGGAGGACATTACTGTAGCGCTCGAGGACTCGCTAGTTACCATCTCTACCATCGCTGGCAGCCGTTTCGTCGGGCCCATCCGCGAGAAGGTCGAGGGGTGGCAGAAGGATCTGCTCCTCTTCCAGGAGACTCTCGACGAGTGGCTCAACGTTCAGCGGAACTGGATGTACCTAGAGAGCATCTTCGGCGCTGGCGACATCAAGAAGCAGCTGCCCACTGAAAGCGCGAAGTTCATGGAGATAGACCAGCAGTGGCGCAACATCATGAAGGAGACGCACGACTACGCGGTCGCCCTGCAGGCAGCGACCAAGCCAGGCCGCCTGGAGATCTTCAGGAACGCCAACGAGACGCTGGACCAGATCCAGAAGCAGCTGGAGGACTACCTGCTGTCCAAGTGCGTCGCCTTCCCGCGCTTCTTCTTCCTCTCGAACGACGAGCTGCTCGAGATCCTGTCGCAGGCCCGCAGGCCCCAGGCGGTGCAGCCGCACCTGCGCAAGTGCTTCGACAACCTCGTGAAGCTGCGCTTCGGGGACGACCAGCGCTCCACCGACATCCTCGCGATGATCTCCGCCGAGGGCGAGGAGGTACCGTTCCACAAGCCGCTGAAGGCGCGAGGCAACGTCGAGAAGTGGCTCAGCGCCGATGGGGGCGTGGAGCAGTTCATGGTCCACAGCCTGCGGGACGTGACCAGGAAGGGCTACAAAGACTACGCGGAGATGGAGCGGAAGGCCTGGGTGAGGGAGCAGTTCTGCCAGGTCATGATTACGGTGGGTTCCATCTTCTGGACGATGGAGACGGAGATGGTTCTCCTCGATGACAAGGGCAACAAGGTGCAGGGCATGAGCAAATGGCTGCAGAAAAACAAAGCCCAGCTGCAGGGTCTTACCGAGCTTATCCGGGATAAGCTGACGAAGTTGCAGCGGAAGGGTGTAGTGGCGCTCGTGACACAGGACGTCCACAACAGAGATATCATCGATGATATGGTCAGCGAAAAAGTCACGAACATCATGAATTTCAAGTGGCAGCAGCAGCTCCGATATTATTGGGACACCGAGGAGGACGACTGCATCATCAAGCAGGTGGATGCCCTCATTAAGTATGGCCACGAGTACATGGGCGCCCTGTCACGGCTGGTTATCACCCCCCTTACCGACCGATGTTGGATGACAATTACTGGGGCTTTGCACATCAAGCTGGGCGCGGCTCCTGCTGGCCCCGCTGGCACCGGCAAGACAGAGTCCACGAAGGATTTGGCTAAAGGCTTGGCGCGCCAGTGCGTGGTGTTTAACTGCAGCGACCAGATCAACTACCAGATGATGGGCAAGCTATACAGTGGTGTCGTGAGTGCCGGAGCGTGGACGTGCCTGGACGAGTTCAATCGTATCTCGATCGAGGTGCTCAGCGTGGTGGCACAGCAGGTGCTCGAGATCCGCCAGGCGCTGCTCCAGGGCGTCAGCGACTTCGTCTTCGAGAACCGCCAGCTGAAGGTGAAGAACACGTGCGGCATCTTTATCACGATGAACCCTGGCTACGCGGGTCGTACCGAACTGCCCGACAACCTGAAGGTCCTCTTCCGCCCCGTGGCGATGATGGTGCCAGACTACACCCTTATCGCAGAGATCATGCTGTACGCCGAGGGTTTCGGGGCTGCCAAGGTCCTGAGCGGCAAGTTCACGCAGCTCTACAAGCTGTCCTCGGAGCAGCTCTCTAAGCAGGACCACTACGATTTCGGCATGCGCGCAGTGAAGTCGGTGCTGGTCATGGCGGGGAGCCTCAAGCGCGCAGAGCCGGAGGAGGACGAAAACATCCTGCTCATCCGCGCCATGCGTGACTCCAACGTGCCGAAGTTCTTGTCCGACGACCTTCCGCTCTTCTTCGCCATTGTGAACGACCTGTTCCCGGGGGTGGACGTGCCGTACATCGACTACGGCGCGCTGCAGGTGGAGATCGAGAACGCGCTGACGAAGCAGTCGCTGCAGGTCGTTGGCGCTCTCGTGGCGAAGACGATCCAGCTGTTCGAGACTTTCAACGTGCGCTTCGGTGTCATGCTGGTCGGGCCCACGCTTGGCGGCAAGACGACGAACTACAAGACGTTGGCCAATGCGCTCACCAAGCTCAGCGCGGACGGCCACGGGGACGAGCGGTACAAGAAGACGTCCTACACGTGCTTCAATCCCAAGTCTATCACTATGGGGGAGCTCTATGGAGAGTTCAACGAGCTGACGCAGGAGTGGTCGGACGGGCTCGGAAGCAAGGTCATGCGCGGGTACCAGATGGAGGAAACCGACGAGTACAAGTGGACCATCTTCGACGGGCCTGTGGACGCCCTTTGGATTGAAAATATGAACACCGTGCTCGACGACAACATGACCCTGTGCCTCGCGAATGGCGAGAGGATCAAGCTGAACTGGAACATGCGCATGCTGTTCGAGGTCGAAGATCTCAAGGTGGCGTCACCGGCCACCGTGTCGCGCTGTGGCATGGTGTACCTCACGCCCTCTGATCTCGGCTGGAAGCCCTATGTGGAGACGTGGACAGCGTCCTTGCCCGAGGCGCCTTTCACGCCGAAGTGCAAGGAGGTGCTGCGCAACATGTTCGACACCTACGTCGACAAGGGTCTGGAGTTTTTGCGGAAGCACGGTTCGGAGCCGGTGGTCACAGAGGACTCCCAGCTGGTCATCTCACTCTGCTTGTTGCTCCAGGCCCTCTTCAACGAGAACGCCGCGACCGCCAACAGCTGCGCCGCGAAGGACGCGCTGTCGGAGGAGACGCCGCTGAAGCCGCGGAGCATGTCGGCGATGGAGGCTGGGGAGTTCGAGAAATTGCTGATGCCTGCCTTTTGCTTCGCCATGACGTGGACGGTGGCGGGAAGCTGCGATGCGAAGACGCGCAAGATGTTCGAGCGCGAGATGGAGAGCTGGTTCCCGAACGTGAGCATGCCGCGTGGTGGCGGCCCTTACGATGGCTACATCGACTTCCACGAGGGCCCCAAGTACAAGAATTGGTCAAATCTGGTGCCACAGTTTGTGTTCGATGAGGGCGTGTCATACTTCCAGATGCTGGTGCCGAACCCCGACACCGTCCGCTTCTCCTACGTCATCGACAGGATGCTCGGTATTCAGGCTTCAGTGTTCCTCACAGGGAACTCTGGTGTTGGCAAGAGCGTCAACCTGGCCAACTTGCTGGAGAAGATGAAGGAGCTTGCTGGGGTTGTGCCCGTCTTCATGACCTTCAGCGCGCAGACGAAGGCCATAGACACGCAGCTCACAATCGAGGGCAAGCTCGAGCGCAAGAGGAAGACACTTCTAGGGGCTCCTGTGAACAAGACGGTCGTGATCCTCATCGACGACGTGAACATGCCCCTGGTCGAGGAGTACGGGGCCCAGCCGCCCGTCGAGCTGCTCAGGCAGTTCCAGGACCTGCGGGGCTTCTTCGACCGCAAGAAGCACGACTGGAAGGAGATCGAGAACACCACGCTGCTGCTCTGCGCCGCGCCCCCTGGCGGCGGCCGCAACAGCATGACTGCGCGCTTCACGCGGCACTCGCTGGTGCTCTGCATGCCCCCGACGAGCGAGGAGGCCATGACCACGATTTTCGGCTCCATCATAAACGGCTTCCTGACGAGGTTCAAGCAGGAGGTTCAGTCCCTGGGCAATGCCGCCGTGGGTGGCACTATCGACCTCTACAACAAGTGCGGGGACGAGCTGCTCCCCACGCCGACCCGGCCGCACTACACCTTCAATCTGCGAGACGTGTCCAAGGTGTTCCAAGGTCTTTTGATGGTCAAGCCGATGCATGTGCCCAGCGCAGAGTCGTTCACGCGGCTGTGGTACCACGAGGTGTGCCGCGTTTTCTGCGACCGCCTGATCAGCGAGGGGGACAAGGCGTGGTTCCAGAAAGCCATAGGCGAGCAGCTCAAGTCGAGGTTCCGCGTGCTGGATACGGACCCCGACGTCTGGACCCAGGTCATGTGGTGTACCTTCCTGCGGCCCGTGGACTCCGCGGTCTATGAGGAGGCGAAGGACCCGAACAAGGTTGCTAAAACGCTGGAGGATGCGAACGACGAGTACAACCTGACACATACGGCACAGATGAACCTGGTGTTCTTCAGCGATTGTGTGGGCCACGTCTCCCGCATCTCGCGCGTCCTGGCGCAGCCTCGGGGCAATCTGCTTCTCGTCGGCGTCGGGGGCAGCGGTCGCTCGAGCTGCGCGCGCCTCTGTGCCTGCATCGGCGAAACGGCAGAGTTCGACATCGCTCTCACGAAGGTCAGAGGGCGCCAACCAGACACTTACACCGATCATGGTCAGGCCGATCCCAGGCCTGGGATAGGCCTGGCCAGGGTCGGTGTAGGTTTGCAGTTGGTATTCCCCTGTGAGGGCTATGGCATCGATGCATTCCGGGAGGACGAGAAAAAGTTCTTGATCGCCGCTGGTGCAGGCGAGGCCAAGTCCACAATGTTCCTGCTGAACGACACCCAGATCATCAACGAGACCTTCCTAGAGGACGTGAACAACATCCTCAATGCCGGTGAGGTCCCCAACCTCTTCCCGAACGACGAGATCGAGCGCGTGATCGGCGACACGCGGCCGCGCGCCAAGGAGGCCGGCTGCAGCGAGGCCAAGGATGCCGTCTGGCAGTTCTTCGTGCAGACCGTGCGGGAGAACCTGCACATTGTGCTCACGATGTCGCCCGTGGGCTCCGCGCTGCGCGTCCGCATGCGCATGTTCCCCGCGCTGGTGAACTGCTGCACGGTGGACTGGTTCCTGCCGTGGCCCGACGAGGCCCTGCTGGGCGTGTCCTCGCGGCAGCTCGAGGGCATGCAAGGCGGCTCGAAGAATTTTCTGGAGGAGGAGGAGGAGGAGGAGGAGGAGGAGGAGGAGGAGGAGGAAGGGGAGGAGGGGGAGGATGGGGAGGAGGGGGAGGAGGAGGAGGAGGAGGAGGAGGAGGAGGAGGAGGAGGAGGAGGAGGAGGAGGAGGGGTGTGGTGTAAAGGGGCCTGGTGCCAGTGTTATGTCAAAGGGGAGTGATCTGGCTATGTTATCTGTCGCACACAGCATCGCCATTTCCACGATTGGCACCATGCCCCTGTATGCCACACACCCGCTTCCGACCTCCAACATGATAATCAGCATGCTCGTGAGCTCGATCCTCACGGATTTCTTGGATCGGCACTCGGCGCCCCTGGAGGCGCCTCTCGCGCCGCCCCTGGCGCGCTCTGCGCGCCAGGGAGGGGGACCCAGCGCAGATCCAAGACATCCGCGCGGGCCTCCGACTGGTTTCAGAAGGGGAAAAACACACACAGACACAATTAATCGTCGATTCCCCAGAAAATACGGGAACATCTGGGAATTGGGCGGGAAGACAGAAACCCAGAACATGTCGGAGCATACGGGGAATCCTTTGATTTGTGTGTACTTATTTGTGTGCCCTTGGGCCCCTGGATGGTTCTGCCTGTGCCGTTTTGTTGTTCGAGTGGCCCTCTGGCCACGTGCCGCCGGCAAGGGGCGCTCGGGCCTCGGGGGGGGGGGTCCCGGGGGGGTGGTCCCCGGCCAGATTGATGTCGACGAAAAATGAAACATACCCTAAACATGCCCCAAGAAGGTCAAAAAATGCTCCAAAAATAGTTCCCGGGGATTTTCGACGAAAAATGAAAATACCCTAAACATTCCCCAAGAAGGTCAAGAAAATGCTCCAACAATAGTCCCCGACTCCGACTATTTTTTGATTATTTTTCCCTACCTAGGCTCTGCCTGGAAGGGTTCTTACTCTGTTGGCTTAAAGGGGCCGGGCAGTGGAAATCGCCCTGGGCGGTTCCCCCAGTCCCCTGGGAGCCAAGCAAAAGCAACAGCAAAGGTAAAAGCAAACGCGCGGTTCCCCCAGTTGCGCTCCCTGGGTGCCAAGCAAAAACAAAAGCAAAGGCAAAAGTGAAGGCAAGAGCGAAGGCAACGCACAACCATAGCATAGCATAGCATAGCATAGCGCAGCATAGCATAGCGCAGCATAGCATAGCATAGCATAGCCTAGCCCAGCATAGCATTGCGCAGCATAGCATAGCATCGCATTGCCTAGCCCAGCATAGCATTGCGCAGCATAGCATAGCATAGCATAGCATAGCATAGCATAGCATAGCATAGCATAGCATAGCATAGCATAGCATAGCATAGCATATCATAGCATAACATAGCATAGCATAGCATAGCATAGCGCAGCACAGCATCCACTGTTACTACTACCGCTACTGCTACAACTACGACGATGAGGAGAAGGAGGAAGACGGCGTTTACCGCTCCTACTAATGTTGCTTTCCTAGAGGCTCCAACTAGGTAGGGTCGCACTGGGATAATTGATTATTTTTGGAGTGTTTTTTTATTTTCGTCGAACATCCCCCTGTAGGGGGGACAGAGGCCCGACTTAAGGCTAGATCTGTGGGGGTCTTTGGGACCCTTCTCCACACACTCGGGATGGGCAAAATCAATCACAAAATTTGTCCCCCGCGGGGGGGGGGGAAATGTAACACACGGCCCCCCCTCCTCCCCCCCCCCCCCCTTCCCGGCAGAGCCCCCCTGGCCCCCCCTCCCAGCGGAGCTGAGCTGAAGCTCAGCCTCTTCTAAACTCACACGCGGGATCGGCGGGTTTCTCCAGGTGTCAGCGATGAGATGAAGGAGTCGGTCTCGAAGGCGTGCTGCAGCGTGCACCAGCAAGTGCTCAAAACGGCGGACACGTTTGAGGAGCGCCTGCGGCGCAAGGTGTACGTTACGCCTAAGTCCTACCTGGACCTCATCGGTCTGTACCTCGAGATGATCACGGAGAAGCGCGACGAGAAGGACGCGAAGACACGCTAATGTCGATGCAGGTAACGGCGATGTAGGTTTTGGTATTGTAGGTGGGGGTGGTTCGTTGCGTAGGTGGGGTAGTTCCGTAGGTGGTTTGTGGCGTAGTGTGGTGGTGGTGGTGGTGGTGGTGGTGGTGGTGTAGGTGGGGTATTTCGGTATTCAAGGGGCGGTGCGAGTTCGGCGTCGCAATAACCATATTCCCAACATTAGCGGGACCATCAACCAATATCTCCATTAGCGGGGCCTTGGAAGGACCTGGCCTTGCGCCGGCTGCAGACTGGCGTGGACAAGATCGATGAGGCCAACGCGGTGGTCAACGGGTTGCAGGAGGAGCTGACCAAGCTGGCCCCCTTCATCAGCCAGAAGATCAAGGAGGCAGACGAGCTGGTCCCCGTCGTCACCGAGGAGCAGTCGAAGGCGGAGGCCATCAAGGCGAAGGTAATGGCCGAGGAGGCCGTGGTGCGCAAGCAGGCGGAGGAGGTGGCTGCCGTCCAGGCAGACGCACAGCGAGACCTGGACGTGGCGATGCCGGCCCTCGAGAACGCACTCAAGTCGCTGGACTCTCTGGACAAGAAAGACATCACTGAGATCAAGGGCTTCACCAAGCCACCCCCGCTCGTGGTGATGACGCTGGAGGCTGTGTGCACGCTGCTGCAGGAGAAGACAGACTGGGACACCGCCAAGAAGGTGATGACCGACGCGAAGTTCTTGGATCGACTGAAGACCTTCGACAAGGACAACATTCCACCAAAGGTGCTGAAAACTCTGGAGAAGTACGTCACGAAGCCAGAATACACCCCAGACCAGGTGGGAAGACAGAGCACGGCAGCGAAGAGCCTCTGCATGTGGTCCCACGCGATGGACACCTACTCGAAGGTCGCCAAGGAGGTGGAGCCCAAGAGGCAGAAGGTGGCCAAGCTCAACGAGACGCTGGAGGCGGCGAACAAGGACCTGGCGGAGAAGATGAGGAGCCTGAAGGAGGTCGAGGACCAGGTGGCGGCACTGAAGAAGAAGCTGAAGGACACCAACGACGAGAAGGAGCGGCTGCAGAACGAGGCCGCGCTCACCAAGGCCCGGCTGCAGCGCGCCGACATCCTCACGGTCGGCCTGGCCGACGAGGGCATCCGCTGGCGAGGGACGGTGGAGACCATCCGTCAGGACTCGACGGGGAAGCCAGAATATACTCCAGATTTCGTAAGAAAAGGGAGGGGGTCTGGACCCTCCAAGACAAATCATTTCAGACCTCCCCCGTGGGAGAACCCTCCAAAACATCGTCCCCAGACCCCACAGGCCCTCCAAGATAGCCTGGAAGAGACCCCCCCCCCGAAATGAGACCCCCCTCCCTTTATTACGAAATCTGGAGTAAACTTTCAGAGCTCCCCGCGGATTCCTCGCATCGGCGCTGGGCCAGTGCCCCTAGCGCGCTTCGGGCGCTGCCGGGGGGGGGGGCCCTGCGCCGATCCAAGGGATCTCCGCGCGGGGCTCCAGAAGCTCGCGTTTCTGTCGCCAGTGGCTCCTCCGAGGACATCATCAACCTCACCGGCGACGTGTTCTTGTCGTCCGCCGCGATCTCCTACTACGGGCCCTTCACCGGCGTGTACCGGGCCGAGATCGTGGACGCGTGGCTGAAGGCCGTGAAGGACGTCGGCATCCCCTGCGGGGACTCCTTCGACCTCAGGCACTTAGTGGGCCCCGGAAACGGCAGTGCCATTTTTTCACCGTTTCCAAAAATCATGTCCCTTGAAAATGGAAACGGCAAAAAACGGAGACCGGAAACGGCGAAAGAACGGCTCCAGGATTGGAACCGGAGCCAGAACCGGTCAAAAAACGGCGACGGAACCGGTAAAAAAACGGCGTCGGAACCGGCAAAAAAATGGCAAAACGGAACTGGTAAAAAAACGGCCTTGTCGTTTCCAGGGTCCACTGAGCTCAGGCAGACGATGGGCAACCCCGTGGAGATCCGGGACTGGAACCTGCAGGGCCTGCCCACGGACGGCGTGTCGATCAACAACGGCGTCATGGTCGTCCGAGGCAAGCGGTGGCCGCTGATGATCGACCCGCAGGCGCAGGGCAACAAGTGGATCAAGAAGAAGGAGGGCAAGGACCTGAAGGCCCTCCTCCTCCTCCTCCTCCTCCTCCTCCTCCTCTCCTCCTCCTCTCCTCCTCCTCCTCCTCCTCCTCCTCCTCCTCCTCCTCCTTGCACTGCAGCGCCGTCGCCTTGCGCGCGCCCGCCCGCGAAGGCGGCCATGAGAGGCCTGTCTTCCCTCTCTCCTGCGCCCCCCCGAAAGGGGGAGGGCGACCCACTGGAGGCCATCAAGATGTCCAACCCCAAGATGCTGCTGATCCTCGAGGGCTGCATCCGCACCGGCGCCCCGCTGCTGATGGAGGACGTGGAGGACCAGGGGCGGCGCTTGGGGAGGACAGGCTCAGAGGAGGGAGCGCTCCGAGCCCCCGCTCTCGCCCGCTCGTCGCCGATGGGGGCTCGACGAGGCACAACTCGCCCAGGAACGTTCAGTCGGGGCGCTGAAGAAGGGACCCTTTTCGTTGGGGAGGGGCTCCGTGTCCCCTGATTGTTTCGCAGCTTGCCCCAGGTTTTCCTCAGGTCTTCGATGGGAAATCGAAGTTCAGCTTCTGGAGAAAAGGGGCCTCGTTCCTTACTTGGAGTTCCTTAGGTCAGCGCCCCGACCGTGCGGTTTTGGCATCAGGAGCCCAGCGCCGGTTTATCGGCGGTGTATCGCCGACGCAAGCTCGATGCCGCCCCTCCCCCCGAGCTGGTCACCCCTAGTAGCGATGCCCCGCAGAGGAGACGCTGGACCCCGCCCTGGAGCCGGTTCTGCTCAAGGCGCTGTACGACAACAACGGGCGTCTGCAGATCAAGCTTGGCGATCAGGATGGGGGGACAGGAAAGTCCAGCCGAGTCAGAGAGGGTAGGACTATGCAGGTTCGCTTGCGCTTCTCCCCTTCGAGGACCCCCCTCTGGGTGTCCTGATCCCTCTCTCCCCTTTTGGTTTTCTTCGTCACTCCTGTGTCCCTGCAGGAGGTGGACTACGATAGCATGTTCCTCTTCTATATGACGACCAAGATGCCAAACCCCCACTACTTCCCAGAGGCGGGGCCTTCAGCCCGGGGGGACGCGGAGGAGGACAGGGATGGGAAGCAGATGCTCGGCTTGGCAGACCAGCCACAACCCAGGGTAGCTGTGGTCCTCACCCCTTCTGGGTCGAGGCACGTAGTCGGGGTTGAGCCTAAGGTGGAGTTACTCGGCGGCGAGCGAGGGGGGGGGGAAGGGAGAATGAGAAGGCCTTGTCAGAAGGTGGCGGGACTTCTCAGAAGCACCCTCGCTCCTTCCCCTCGCTCCTTCTGATACGATGTCCGTGCCTTCGAGGAAGGCGGCTCAGAAAGCTTCTCAGAAGGCCGGGGGACTTCCGAGCCTTCTGAGAAGGTCCGGCTCTTCTCCCTTTCCCCCCCGGGCTCGCCGCCAACATGAACATCGCGGTGTCGTGCAAGTGCCCTCTGCGTGCTGGCAGAACCCCACCGCCAGCCAACTCAGAAGGCGGCCGGGCTTCTCAGAAGCCTTCTGAGAGGTTCTCTGCGTCTTCGGGGAAGGCTCTTGGAAGACTGCTCCGAAGGCCGAGGGTTGAGGCCGACATTCCCCCTGTCCAGAGCAGGGCCAGACCTCAACGCTGTTTTGCTGGACTTCGGCTGTGTTTCGTTTTTCGTTTTGGGAGGGAGGTGCGGGTAAACAGGCAGAGCAAAACGAAACAACAAAACGAACAAACAACGTTCAGGTCCAGCCCTGGTCCAGAGGCCGTTCGGAAGAATTTTCCCTCAAACCTCACCTGCAGCCCTGCCCTACCTTTCGGCCTCCCCCCCGACTGGTGTGGGGGGGCCCTGGGCTTCGACGGCCCTCTCTCTTGAGAGGCCGTCAGCACGCGGAGGCGGCCCGCGGGGCCAGAACTGGTCGGGGCCCCGGAGATCAGCCAGGCGAGGGGGACGAAGCCAGATCCGTTCGTCCTTCCATCCTCTGTCTCGTCACCTTTGCAAGGAGCCGCGTCAGCCACGCGTGGCAGGCAAGGAAGATAGACCCCCTAAGGGAGGTTCGATCGAAGACGAAAATGGCGGGTATCGAGGGTCTGGGATATACGTGTTGAGTGGATCTCGAGCAGATGCGCGTGAACGGTTTCAACTTGATTCTTGAGTTATCTTGTCGAAATAATCAGTATTGTTGATCCCCCCCTGCCTGGTGCACCTTGTTGTCTTTTAATCGAAGTGCTCTTCCCGGGGCTCGCACCTTCTCTGAACAAGGGGAAGTATCGCGCTCCAGGTTCTGTCTTTCGCACCAAGTTTATCACAACAGTGGTTCCCGCCGGATATTTCATCACGAATCATCCAAAATCGTGCCCTCGCGCGGGATTCCCTTACGCATAATTCAGGATTCGCGAGAGCGCGCTTAGCAATTAATGGTGGCGCCGCTCCCCCCAACACTCATGAATCACGCTCTCGCTTTTTGGATTTCCAGACGATTTACTTTGGAATCGCGCTATTGCTCGAAACTTCCTCGCGATTCCTGGGTCCGCCCGCCCGGCCCGCCCGTCTGGTTCTGCCACTTGTACTCTTGCTCCTAACCCCCTCCTGCAATTCTTTCTCGTGCTCCGTCCTCCTCCCTGCCCATTGTCTCTTCCCTCCTGCCTCCCTTCTCATTTTCGAGGGGTTGCGCCAGTGACGCGTGGCAGGTAAGGAAGATATACGCCCAAGAGGGGTCAGATCGAAGGCGAAGTGGGCGCGTATCGAGGGTTTGGGACATTCATGGTGAACGATGCCCGAGCGTATGATGGCGAACAGTCTTCAAATGATTGAACATCAGTTACTGGGAATTACTATGGCTGGGCACCCTGAGGATGCCCTGGCGCTCTCGCCTCGGCGCTGGCTGCATTTCCTCTGAAAATGATGCTCGCGCTTCGGCGTTTCGGCGTTCCGCCGAAACCGGTCCCTCAACAATCACAACTCTCCCGCTTGAACTTTTCGCTTTTTTTGTTCTCGGGACCGGGGGTCTGCTCGCCGCCGAAAGCCGGCGTCCCAACAAAACTGGCGCTCCCGCTCGATAAGTACAGTCGGGGCCCTGAACAAGGAACCCTTTTGGTTGGGGAGGGGCTCCGCGTTCCTTCAGTGTTTCACAGCTTGCCTCAGGCTTTCCTTATGTTTTCAACAGGACATCGAAGGTCAACTTGTGGAAAAAAGGGGCCTCGTTCCTTATTTAGGGTTCCTTAGGTCAACGCCCCGACTGTATCTGTTTTTTACTCAGGACCGGCGCTCCCGCCTCGGCGCCGAAGACGGCATCCCCTGTAGACGCAGACGCTCCCGCTCGAGGCTTCGTCCGCTCTTTTACTCAGGACTCCCAGAGGCCCCGAGGCTTCCCTGGTCCCTATTGAATTTTCAGTGCTGAACAATGATTATTGTTGGACGCCCTAAAGGCGCCCTTCAGGAGGGGAAGAAGCACACAGACACGATTCATCGTCGACTCCGCAGGAAAATATGGGAAAATATGGGCACTGTGGGGGAAGACAGAAACCCAGAAACTATGGGAAAGTATTGGGCATCTTTTCATTTGTGTGTATTTATTTGTGTGTCCTGGGGCCCCTTCAAATTATTGTTGGACGCCCTAAAGGCGCCCTGGCGCGCTCGCCTCGGCGCCCTCGCGCCACCGCGGCCCTCCCTGTCCCTGCCTGGTGGTCAGCCGAGCGTCCACTGCGAACGAGTCGAACGCGGCCGAGCGACCCTGCGATCCCGCGGGCGGCCCGGCAGCCCGCGGCGGCGACCCCGTCGTCGTTCTTCTCGTCGTCGTCGTCCTTTCTCCTCCTCCTCGTGCCCTCCCCCCTCCCGTTCCCCCTCCTCCTCTCGTCGTCGTCGTCGTCGTCGTCCTCCTCCTCCTCCTCCTCCTTTCTCCTCCTCCGCCTCCTCATCTTTCTCCTCTCCTTCTCCTCCTCCTGCTCCTCTTCCTCCTCTCTCTCCCCCCTCCTCGTCTTCCCTCCTTTCTCCTCCTCCTCCTCTTCCTGCTTTCTCCTCTTCTTCATTTTTTGCCGAGGCCCAGAAGCTCCTCCGATCCGGGCCTTTCCCCCGAATCCCTTGAGGCCTCCTTCAGGAGGCCTCGAAGCCCTCCAGCTCAGATTTGAAGCGTCTCCCAGGGGCCCTCAGGTTTCCCACAAGGGCTTTGAAGCTTTTCTGAGAGGCCCTGGGGGCTCTCCAAGGGTCTCTGGATGCTCTCCAGGGGGCTCCGGAGGCTCCCCGTGGTTGCGGGGCCTCCCCCAGAGGTTTTGAGCCCTTCGGGCGTGGTGACATTTCGAAGCAGGGAATGGGCAGGGCAATTGCTCATTGTTCCTATACATTCGGGGGTGGACAGACCTCCTACCCTGACACGTCGATTAGTGAATTGTCCGTTTCCCGTTCTCGAGAGGGCGCCGCGGCTGTTATTTTCCAGGCTTGCGCCCGCCAGGTTTGGGCCCGAGGTCGTTTTCACTAAACCACGTTTTACTGAAGGGAGGTCTGTCCATCCCCGATACAATGCCCTTACCCGGGGTCGGCCTGGAAGGAAAGGGCCGTCCGCTGGATTGGGCCCCTGCCGCTGCGCCCGATCAGCCTGCCGCGTGCGCGCTGGTTGAGCACCCGCGCGTCAGGACGCAACGACACGCTGAATGGTTGGTCGTTCGATTGCAGCGACATGCCCTGGTTTGCGTCAGGGGGTGTCCGCAGGGTTTAGAGCAGCATTGGAGTGGTGGTGCCTGTCCCATTTGGGGACAGGCACCACCACTCCGCTGCGTTTGGGCCTACCCGCAGGAGCGTCGTTGCAATCTCACACTCCCCCAGGGGCTGTTGCGGCCGCGTTCGGGAGAGCTCTCGGGGGCCGCGCGTGCGCCCGAGAGCGATTTCGGCCAAGCGCCACCTCGACTATGTTCGGGTATGTCTCCAGGGGTACCATCAACGCGCGTCGGCGACGGTACCCCCCGACACGTACCCGGACCTAGCTGGTGTGACGCCACGCGGGTTTTCCAGGGAACAGCCCCTGGCGACCGCGCCTGGGGTTCGGGGCCCCAGGCGTTTGGGGCGAGCGTGGGATTGCGGCGGCGCCCGCCCTGTACACCCAGGACGCATTTTGCGCGTCGACGACGACAAAGGGCTCCTGCTCGATACATCTTCACGATTTGCTCCGATAGCTCGTGGCCAGGAAGGCCCCCGAACTCAGGAACGGCGCTCGCGCTCGAGTTTTTTTGTAATTCAGTCAAACGGGTGGAGGCCCAACTGCGACGACAAGGGCTCCAGTTCGATATTTCCTCAGTATGTATTCGCAGAGGCCCTTGCCAGAGGGGCCCGCGAACTCAAGAGTGGCGCTTTCGCTCGAGACATTCTTGTATTTCAGGCAAGTTGGTGGAGGCCCGGACACGGCTACAAGGGCTCCCGTTTGATATTTCTTAATATGTTTTCCGAGAGACCCTGGCCAGAGAGGCCCCCGAACTCAGGCACGGCATTGTCGCTCGAGAGTTCTTCGCATTTCAGTCGTGGCCGACAAGGTAGATATTCCCCCCGAAAGGGAGTGCAATCGAATACGAAGTGGGCAGGTATCGAGGGTTTGGCATGCAGAGTGCAAAACACGCGCGCCAGCAAGAACGAGCAGTCTTGAACTGATTGCTGTTGTTGATGTTGCTGCTGCTGCTGCTGCTGCTGCACATCTGTAGCATCCTGTCACGACGCGAGGCTTCCCAGTGTCGGGGTCGGGGGCCGCATGCGAGCCCTACCCCTGCCCCCCACGATTTTTGAGGGGGAGGGTTCGCTTGTGGCCCCCTACAGTCCCGCCCGGCAGGTGTGCATCAAGGTCACAGTCATCAATTTCACGGTCACGTTCGACGGCCTGGAGGAGCAGTTGCTCAACGAGGCCCTCGGCCGCCGCCTCCTGCGTTGAGGACAGAAAAGGGAGGAGGAGGACCAGTACCAAAGTCCAGGCGGCCCGGAATAGTACAGTGCCGTTTTTTTGTTATACACGCTCCGCGTGCGGATCATGTATTGAACATGCAGGGATTTAGTTAAAACTCAACGAGGAGTTCATGCATACATTCATTCACATTTATATATACATATGTATGTATATATATATATATATAGTAAAAAAGAAAAACTATGTATTAAACACTGCCCTGTAGGTCGACCCTGCCAGATCAAGGGTGCCCTCGTGTCCTGTGTCCTGCGACCCATGCCTCGTGCATTTATGTGGCAGCGTGGCCCTCGGAAGGGTCTTTGTGTCCTCTCGCGTGTCCTCCCCCAATCAGGTCCGACTGTAATTTCCAGGATGCGTGAACGATGCTGCAGCCCACCCTCCCGCCGCACAGTGGAGACCCACGCCAAGAAACACCCTGCTTGCCCCCAGGGTGCCCGTGGGTTTCTTGGACTTCGATGGGCTCGCGGTGTAGTGCGTGACGCTCCCAAACCAGGACCCCACGTGCGCCCTGGGGCTCCAGGGCTGGGCTTCTTGAGGGAGGCTTCTCGTGGTCGAGCCCCTGCTGCACGCCCCCTCCAGGAGAACTCCTGGCAGGCGCTCCTCCTCCTCCTCCTCCTCCTCCCCCTCCTCCTCCTCCTCCTCCTCCTCCCTCCTCCTCCTCCTCCTCCTCCTCCTCCTCCTCCTCCTCCTCCTCCTCCTCCTCCTCCTCCTCCTCCTCCTCCTCCTCCTCCTCCTCCCCCTCCTCCTCCTCCTCCTCCTCCTCCTCCTCCTCCTCCTCCTCCTCCTCCTCCTCCTCCTCCTCCTCCTCCTGGCACGCCCTCTCCCCCTCCCGCGCCACATGCGCGGCCCCTGCCGATGCCGCGCGTGCCCGGTGGTCCTGCCGCTGAGGCGAGACCGCCTCCGTTGTGCGGAGGACCCGCCCTCCGTCATCGCGTCGAATACGTACGCGGGCGGATATGATGGCAACGTGCAGTAGGTCACCACCCACCAAAACACCCCAACCCAACCCGAAGGCTCAGATTTTCCCTCGATTTCCAGTGGTGGGGGGGTCGGGGAGCATCGAAAACACATGTGTGGAGCCCGTACCCCCCCCCACCCGAAATTCGGGTCTTCGGGTTGGGTTGGGGTGGTCTGGTAGGTGGTCAAGTAGGGCTGCGGACGATTCGGCGGCGAGCGAGGGGGGGAACCGAGGGGGAGAAGGCCTTCTCCGAAGGCGGCGGGACTTCCCAGAAACCCTCGCGCCTTCTGAGAAGTTGTTTTCTGTTTTCGGGGAAGGCTTAGAAAACTTCTCAGAAGGCCCGGGGACTTCCGAGCCTTCTGAGAAGCCCCGCCCTTTCTCACTCCCCCCCGTCGCTCGCCACCTAAACGATGGCAACGTGCAGTGCGGTGGCCGACGATGGTCGGGCGATCGCAAACACGGATCAAGGGGGGCGTGGATTAGCGACGGGCCCCATTTCCATGGGGCATCGCGGACTTCGGCCGCCGAGCGAGGCGGCGCCGGCCGCATTCTGGGGAGGGCACCTCCTCCGATCCAGGGATTTGGCGACCGCGCGCCAAGTCCATGGATCGCCAATCCATGTCTGCGCGCCCCCGATATGATGACAACGTTCAATGCAGTGGCCGACGATAGACCCGTTGTAATAACAGGACCTGGCCTCCATCCGTGGAAGTGTTTCGTTTCAAAGCTGTGGTCAGACCATTGGCAGAAGTCTCAAGCGCAATCTCAGTTTTAACAAGGAGCCGCCTTCCATCTGTGTAGTCGTTGTACGCTTCGGGACTTCGGGTCTTGGCATTTGAAGACATGTCGACTCAGGGCCGCATTTTGAAGAAGAGCCAGCCTCCATACGTGTAGCTGGTGAAAACTTTTCAAATGAATGTGCTGGGGCCTGACGAGAGAACAACATGTTGGAAGCCACTGATCCTCTGTTTCTGAACCTGTTGGAACTGTTGAGGGAGCACTTTGTAATGTCAATGACAAGCCCCCCCCCCTCAGCCCCGCCCCCTGGTTCGAACCTGGGGGAGGAGGGGGGATATCATGCACCCCCAGCGAAATAGGAGGAGAGGGGAGCAGCGGATCCCCCACCCCCATTCAGTTGGGACCAGGGTGACGGGGAGGGGGTCGGCTTCCCTCCCCGGTTGGGACCAGGCGGGGCCCTCCCCGGTTCGAATTGGGGATTGGTGGCAGAGTCTGTGACCCCTTCCCTCCCCCCCCCTCCCCGGTTTGAATCGCGCGGGTGAGGCTTGCCCCGGTCCTGGCCCGGGCCCCGGCCGAAGCCCCAGCCCCAGCCCCAGCCCCAGCCCCGGCCCGACCCCCCTCCCTTCCCGGTTCGAAGCGGGAGAGGGAGGGGAGGATTTGCCCCCTCCACCCAGTTCGAACCAGGGGGGGGGTGTCCCCCCCCCTTCCTGGTTTCCAGGTTGGAGGGGGTGTTCCCCCCCCCTGCTTTCCAGGATTTTTTTGTTAAACAGTCAAGCGACGGTATATCGCGCTCCCTCGAAATCTTTAAAACGAAAGAGCGCAGCGTTAGCGAGAGTTGTCCTGAGGGTGCGTAAACGGCCCCTGTGTCAAACAATCAGGGTCCAGAAAAAGTTCGAGGCCAATGATTTTGCAAAGTTCAAGTCGAAAGTTGCTAGGATCCGGAAGTTCGGACAAAAAAACTTGGATAGAGTTCGGGCGCGAAGGTGTTCCAGATATCCGGAGCTCGTGTGAAATTGTCGTGAATTCCCGATTTGCTTTTCAACTATGTCCGAATAGTTTCCATTTTCCGAATTATTTACGGACTTTGAAATTCAGTTCGTACCAAACTCTGTTAGATCACCTAGCTTTATTTTCATTCCTGGAAGCCCATCTCTTCCCTCGTCAGCCAATTGCAGAACGAGGGCGAGAGCCGCATTTTGGAAACCACCAGCCTTTCATCCTAAAATGTTTTGGGGACGACCAGCCCTCGATACTTCGTATCTTTGTACGTGCTCAGAAACGAGTATGCGGGGCACTAGGGCGAGCGCCGCAGTTAGGAGACAATTGGCTCTCCATTCCTGTAACTGGCGGAAGCTGTTTTGACTTTGGGTAGTGAGCTGCAAGTAGAAGTCTCGGGCGAAACGCGCAGCCCGTCCTAGAGACACATGTGTTGTTTGGAGAGGACAGGGGTGGACGAGCAGGAGGGGGAGGAGGAGGTAGCGCAGTTTATGGCTCATCCATGTGGCATAACTATTTCCCAGCACGCTCTTACGAGGATCAAGAGATGGGGATCTACAGTGTTATGCATCGTGTTTGACTTCAAGCGGAGACCTGGGGAGGGGTACGCCCAGTTCATGCAGCGTATCGCCCCGGTCACCGAGTCCCGCCTTGAGGAGTCCATCGTCGTGCCGTTGCAATGCTGTGGTCTTCGCGAAGTCATTGAGAATGCGTGGCGTGAAAAATGAATGCTGCGGTGCGGGGGGGGAGAAACTATTCACACAAGGCGCTGCGATTTCGTACGCGTGGGTGGTGAGACTACGTGAGGATGGTGGGGGGCGGGAGGAAAAGTTGAAAGGATGGCGTTGTTCACGCTGGGGTGGGGTACCAGATGGAATGGGAATCAATGTGTTTGCTGGCGGGCTTCTCGAGACTCGTTCTAGCACGAGGCAGAGTGGATTAATTTGTATCCAGCCTTCGAGAAACATTTGCAGTTGCCCCTGAATTCGCACTGCAGTGCCCCGGAATTCGCACTGCAGTGCCCCCGAGAAATTTTGTTACTTAGTATTGCAGTTGCCCCTGAATTCGTCCAGAGTTGGCCTAAGAGAAGGTTCGCCACGCATCCTGTCGACCACCTTCCAGGCGGGCGCGGCGACGACGCGCTTGTCGTGCAGTGGGACGGAGTAGCCAGGCGCAACCTCTTCATCATGGAATTCAGGCCTTTTGGTGGCGTGGTCAATGGACCAATGGAACTACCGCGTTGGCAGCGCCTTCTCTCGGACCTGTCCTCGCTCGCACTACACGGCACTTGTCCAACATAGTGGCATTTGGATGGATACCGCCGCCAAATTGCAGATGACATGGTTATGTGGCACGAGCGAGATTGGAATATCAAAGCAGGTTATCTGGTCAACCATACAATAGACGAAAGAAAAGAAGTCTTGATACCCAACGTTCCCGAATGATTCGCTTGATCTGAGCCAATAAAATCTTTTGATCCACAGCGACGGCGGCTCTCGAGCCGGGACGTGCTCTGCAGCCGCTTGGTGCGTGGCGGGTGTGACGCGCAGCGGTTCGATGAAATGCGTTCGTCTGCTCGCTACTGCCTGGGATATAGTCACCAATCCAGTTCCCTCTTGTCAGCGGAGGCGTCTGCTTTAGAGGAGGCGGCGCGGCCTGTGGAGGAGCGCGCCGATACATTCAGGCACCAGCCGTCAGTGACCTGATCTAAGCCCCGCAAAGGAACGGATGATGGGAGGATGACGGGTGGGGGAACGGATGATGAGGATGCTGGTGATGATGCTGGTGCTGATGATGGTGATGGTGATGGTGGCGATGAAGATAGCGATGGCGATGACGATGCTGATGGTCATGGTGATCGTGGTGATTGTGCTGGTGATGGTGGTGGTAATAGTGATGAATGCGGATGCTGATGGTGATGATGAGGATGATGCTGCTGCTGCTGCTGATGAGTAATACGATGTTGATGATGATGGCGATGACGGTGACGTTGGCGACGTATGGTGATGATTCTGGCGATGACGATTCGGATGATTACGCGGATGGCAATTATGGTTCTGCTGACGACGATGGCAATGATGATTGCCGTGCTGTTTGTGGTGGGTGGTTTATATTGGCGATGTGGCTGATGGTGGTGCTAATGGTGACGCCGAAAGCGGAGGTTGATGAGGAGGAGACGGGGAGAGGGAGAGATGTATTCGGCTCTCCCTTTCCCTTTCCGTTTTCCCTCCCTCGCTCCTCTGCCCTCCCTCCCCCGTCCCCCTTCTCCCTCCTCTTTTTTTCTCTTTCCCCCGTGCTTCCCTCCCCCCTCCCTCCTCTTACCCCCTCCTTTCCCCTGACTTCCCCTACCCCCTGCCCGTCGCAGCCGCCGTCGCCGTCGCCATCATCATCGTCGTCGTCGTCGTCGTCGTCGTCGTCATCCTCGTCGTCGTCCTCGCCAATTTCCCGCCTCTCCAGCCCCTCCGCCAAATGCCCTTCCTCGCCCGTTCGCGCTTCAGCGCCCGTGAGCGGCCCCCCCGCGCCGCAAAGGTGGTGTCCAAGGAGATCCCAGACACGCTGCACAAGCGGACGGAGCTGATGCTCCAGTTGGCCGCCGACAAGAAGACCCTAAAGCAGCTCGAGGACGGGGGCGCCCGCGTGCTTGCCCCCGCCACGGGCAAACAGTGGGAGAAGGCAGAAGGGACAGGGTAGAAGAGAGAAAGGAAGGGAGGAGGAGGAGCAGGAGGAGGAGGAGGAGGAAGAGCAGGAGGAGGAGGAGGAAGACGAGGAGGAAGAGGAGGAGGAGGAGGAGGAGGAGGAGGAGAAAAAATATCAGTGTAAACCCAAGAGCCATCAACGATGTTGGCATTCACCCTCCCTCCAAACTCCCTCTTCGCAGGCCCCTACAAGGGTTTGTTTCCACTGAGGGAATTGCCTCGTTGAAGGGCAACCGTTTGAAGACCCTGTCATATGCCAAAACATTATGTTCGGAGAGCATTATTTATGGTACGATGCACGCGGCGCTTATGCGAGAGCCACATTATGAAAAGGGACCGCCCTCAATCCGTGGAGCTATTGCAATCTGTCAAAACTAATGTGCGCGGCGCTAAGGCGAGAGCTGCATTTTGAAATCGGCCCGCCCTCAATCCGTGACATTCCTGCAAATTTAAAAATGCAAATGTGCGCGGCGCTAAGGCGAGAGCCACATTTTGAAAACGACCCGCCCTCAATCCTGGAAGTTTTCGCAAATTATTAAATCGACTGTGCGCGGCGCTAAGGCGAAAGCTACATTATGAACAGAACACGACCCGCTGCATTTTGAAATCGGCCCGCCCTCAATCCGTGACATTCCTGCAAATTTAAAAATGCAAATGTGCGCGGCGCTAAGGCGAGAGCCACATTTTGAAAACGACCCGCCCTCAATCCTGGAAGTTTTCGCAAATTATTAAATCGACTGTGCGCGGCGCTAAGGCGAAAGCTACATTATGAACAGAACACGACCCGCCCTCAATACGTGAAAATATCGGAAATGTTTAAAACGAATGTGCGCGGCGCTACTGAAAACGACCCGCGTGAAGCTCTTGCAAGTGTTTACAGCGAATGTGCGCGGCGCTACGGCGATACCCACATTTTGAAAACGACCCGCCCTCGATCTGTGTAACTGTTGCCAATATTGAAGCTTCAGGGTCATACGTGTTGAGGAAGTCTCAGGCGAAACGCCCAGCCCGCACTACAAACTGGCTTCGGGGTGCGACTGGGAGAAGTTATTCAAAGGAAGAGGAGTGGAGGAGGAGGAGGAGGAGGAGGAGGAGGAGGAGGAGGAGGAGGAGGAGGAGGAGGAGGCGGAGGAGGAGGAGGAAGAGGAGGAGGAGGAGGAGGAGGAGGAGGAGGAGGAGGAGAGGGGAGGAGGAGGAGGAGGAGGAGGGGGAGGAGGAGGAGGAGGAGGAGGAGGAGGAGGAGGAGGAGGAGGAGACGGAGGAGGAGGGGGAGGAGGAGGAAGAGGAGGAGGAGGAGGGGAATGAAGAGTGGGAGTTGAGACATCGGGCCTGGGATACAGAGCGTTCAGGATTGTTCGCAGAGCGTTCCGGAGATCTCGGGGAAGGCCGCGGCGCCCGATACATTCGTTAGAGCCGCCGGATCTCAGGGATCCCCGACCTCTCCCGATCCGACTTCTTCCCGATCCTGCCTGCGCTTCGGGATGAGGAAACGGGGGGCAGGCTGCAGTTGCGTCTGTCGCCTGGAGGGCTTCGGAGATCTCAGGGGGGACCCCCGGGTGGCACAGCGGGTGTGCCTCAGGGCGCCAGGGACGGGGGTACAGCAACCGGGGGCACGGGGAGCGCCGATTCCCACGTTTGGCTATGCCCCCGTTGAGGGGGCCCTGGGCGCCGTAGACGGGGGTGCATTAAACGGGGGTGTATGGAGAAGCCGAAGCCCCTGTTCAGCCAAACCCCCGTCTACGAAGCCCCGAGTGCCCTACCGACCTCCCCCTCCCTGCTCAGGGCCCTCCGGGGCCCGCCCCATGCTCGGGGCCCCCACGCGAGTCTGGCTGGTGCCCTGGCTTCCCGCCGAGCGTGCGCGTCCAGGGCCCCGATCCAGCGCCGTGCGGCCCCGGCGGTGGGCCTCCTGCTTGGGGGGCGGGGTGCAGCAAGGACGCCACGCACCTGAAGGCTCCACGGGCTGGCAGGGACCTCCTCGCTTGCGAGTGGGTGAGGCCCCCCCTCCTCTCTCCCGAGGGCGATTTTCCTTCTCTCTCTCCTCCCCCCTCCCTCCTCCCACCTCCCCTCCCTCCTCCCTCCTCCCTCCGCCCTCCTCCCCTCTCCCAGCCTCTCCCCTCTGCCCCCTTTGGCGTTTCGGCCGGCCTCTTCGGGAGCGTAGGTCCTACCCTTCATCCTGCAGCGCGTTCTTGCGGTCTACGTTTCATCGGTCTCCTCCTGTATGTGCATGCGTGCGTGGTGGAGCCAACGTGCTTCCAGCGCTCTGGCGCCACCGCCTTGCTCTTATAGGTCAGGAGGGAAAAAACACACAGACACAATTAATCGTCGATTCCCAGAAAATATGGGAAACTATGGGAAGTGGGGGGGAAGACAAGAACCCCCAAAAACATGGGAAAACATGGGGAATAGTTTTATTTGTGTGTATTTATTTGTGTGTCGCAGGGCCCCTTCCAACGTGCTTCCAGCGCTCTGGCGCCACCGGCCGTGCCCTTATCCGGCCGTCCTCCGAGCCGACCGTCGGCGTCCTGTCCCGTCCCGTCCTGTCCCGTCCTGCTGTTCTCCCTCCCGTTCCTCCTGTCGCGGCGGAGGAGGAGGAGGAGGAGGAGGAGGAGGGGGAGGAGGAGGAGGAGCAGGAGGAGGAGGAGCAGGAGCAGGAGGAGGAGGAGGAGGAGGAGGAGGAGGAGGAGGAGGAGGAGGAGGAGGAGGAGGAGGAGGAGGAGGAGGAGGAGCTGTCGCGGCGGCGGGGCTCTGGCCCATCAGGACAAGATCCTGAAGCTGCTCTCCGAGTCCAGCGGCAACATCCTGGACGACGAGGCGGGACCGGCCCTGCGATGCGCGGCGCCCTCGCGCAATCCCAGCCTCTGGAGCCTCGCAGCGCGGGCCTCTTCGTGATTCGTCGTCGCTGTCCCCAGATCTCCTTCGTCACGAGGAGCCCCGCGAGACCGGTCTTTCCTCTGCTTTTGGCAGTCGTGGGCCATCACGGGACCCTCGACGGATCAAGAAACGGTGTCGGGGGCTCGGGCCTCTAGTTTTTAACGGCGTCGTGCTTTTGTTCGCGGCCTCAGGTGGTCCGGGCCGTGCAGCTCCCAGGCGAGGTCCTTCCTGGGGGTGTCCCTCCCAGCGGCTTCCAGGAGCCTGCGTCGCTCGACAGCGTTACGCTTTAAGTCGGGCCCGTCCCTCTGCAGGAGGCAGGTTCAAAAATAACCCACGAAGAGTCTGAGGACGATTTTTTGACTCTTGTGGATCATTTATGGGTTTTGTTGGCTATATTTGTTTGGGGCATTTGTTTTAAACATTTTTCATCCGACATCCGCCTGTAGGGGGACATGCCTGACCTAGCATTACGCAAACTCAAGAGCTGGCTACGCTGTTTGCCCATGCATGTGAGCGCCTGGCGCACGTGAGTACGGGATGGATTCTCTCATCGATGTCGAGCAACATGTAGTTCAATTTCCTCCTCCCACAGAGCAGCAGCCTGCGCGTGCCCCAGGCACTCCGCTTGGCCCGCGGGCGCTTCAAACAAGAGGGCGGCAGGACCCGCGCCGCGGGAGCCCGCGCACTGCTCCACCCGCGGGATGGACCGCCTTTCAAACAAGCGTCACAAAGTCAGTGGGAACTGGCAACGAAAACACACGTACTATATCTTATGGAAAGACTTTGTCTAACCAGGGTTGGCCGGAGGGGGTTGACCGGGAAGATTGGCCCGATCTCCGGAGGTTGGCCAGGAAGGTGGGCCGGGTCCGTCGTCGCGCGAGTTGGCATTGCGTTGCTCAGAAGGGTTGGCCGGGATTGGCTAGGGATTTGGTGACGCCAGTTCTTAGATAACGATTTTTTTATCATATATAGTAGCAGAACTTCGAAGCCGCCTCCACTCAGGGGCGTCTCAGCATGGTTGGACATGGAAGGCGGGCAGATTTCGAGAGGGGGGGGCCACCGCTTCAGGGGATGAAATTTGCGGATTTTCTGACGAGTGCAGAACTCCTCGGGAGATACTCTCAGATTTCCCAGTGTTTTTTTGACTCGGCACCGACGTCCCTGACTGGGACTCGGTTCGAACGCTTTGATGCGGCTGCAGCTCCGATCGATCTTCGGTTAACAGGAGCAGGTGGGAAACCCTTGCTGGAGAACGCTTGGAAGAGGCTGGACGCAGTCGGTCGCCGTCGTCCAAGGCTCGCGCAGCAACAGCGATCATGTCTCTTCGCAATGCCCTGCAGATCCTCTTCCCTTTCATTTTTGCTTCAAGACGGGGTCCCCGGAAGTCCCGACCCCTTCCCCAGGGCCACGGTCCCAGGGTCAACCGAGGGCCCCCGTAGGCCGAAAGTCATGGAGAAGCGCCCGTCGTGTTTTTTTCGCGACGCGATCACGTCTGGGTTCGCAGGTGCTGATCGATACGCTGAAGGAATCGAAGGAGACCTCGCAGGCCGTCAATGTGCGCGTGAAGGAAGCCGAGGCGGCCGGCTGGGGCCCGGCCAGCGCGTGGCAGCGAGCCAGGTCAAGGCATTCTTGTCGTCGTCGTGGATGTGTATCTGTCGAGGAAGAAAATCGCATAAGCATACCCATCGGTCGTGGAAAGTATGTATTTTTGGGTTCCCAGATTCCATTCTACTTTAAGCGCCTTCCTACTTCAACGATCGAGTGGCTTCACCTTTTCCGTCCTCCTTGGGGGCGGACGGAACCCAATCTTGTTTCAACGCCTTCCTACTTCATGGTTCTACCTAGTTACTTCTTCCGACTGATGGGTAAACATTTGGAGTTCCGCGCGGATTTCTTGGATCTGCGCTGACCCCCTGGCGGCGCCCGCGGCGCCGCCCCCGTCGCGCGGAGCGAGCCAGGGACGGGGGTGTGCTGATGCAAGAAATCCGCGCGGACCTCCAATCAGCTATAGGTTTGCCAGTCGCTGTTCCCCTTGCAGCATTTCCGTCGGTTGTGAGGCGCGCGTATTTTTGGATTCCCAGGTCTACTTCAGGCGCCTTCCTACAGTGGAGACCCATGCCAAGAAACACCCTGCTTGCCTCCAGGGTGCTCTGGGTTTCTTGTGTTTCGATGGTTTCGCTACGGAGAGCGTGACTTCCCCACACCAAAACTCAATGGACGTCCTGGGGTCTCAGGGCTGGGTTTCTTGAGGAAGGTTTTTTCTGGTCGAGTTCCTAATGGTCTTGGGCGGTTGCCTCTGTCGAGAGGATAGATAGGGTCGGAGGATTGCTCCTCCTCCTCCTCCTCCTCCTCCTCCTCCTCCTCCTCCCCCAACTCCAACACCTCCTCCTCCTCCTCCTTCTTTCTTCGATCATCGAGTGGTTTTCCCTTTTACTTCTTTCTTCAGGGGGCGGGCGGACGCCTCCATCCACTTCTCACGCCCTCCTGCTTCGTGTGTCCACCCCGCCTCTTCGACCGGCGGGTCTCCTGGTGGTGGCCTTCGGCCCATCCCGCGCCACCGTGCCTGGGTTGTGAAGTTGTGAGCAAGGGGGCCTCTTGGATGCCTTCGGGGCTCCGGGGAGCTTCTTTTTGGGGCCTCGTGGGGGCCTCGTGTCACCTTGGGCTGTTGGTCCACAAATGGCAGTTCGAGTTCCACCCTTGGGCCCCCCCTTGGGGGCCCTTCGCAGGAGCCTCCTGGTCCCCTTTTGGGGGCCTGGAGGGCTCAGCCGTCCGAGCCAGGGTGTATGCAGCGATCTTTGGGCCCATCGCGGGCCCCGTTCAGGATTGGTGCCGTCGTAACGTCAGCGTTCTCCTATGACTCGAGTGGGAAATCGACTACACAGCATGGATTTACCCAAGATTGTTTGTTCTCGCAGAATATCGTATGTATAATTGTCGCATGTGCGCGAACACGTCAAGCATTCTCCAAAAGTGGGATGATTCAGTCATGTCGTCGATCTCCTGCTCGAGCTATGGCAGGTGTTTTGGCCTACGTCCCCTCCGGCTCCGGCCCGAAGCCCGCTCCGGCCCGAAGCCCTATCAGTCGCCAGCCGCAAGGTGGCTGCTCGCAAGCGAACGACGCCAATCGCGACGAGGGGATCCGCTCAGGCTGGTGACTACCTCGCAGGGGCGTGAAGATGACCGCGCTTCACGCGTCGCGGCCTGGGCGGGAGGTTTGTTCCTCTCCACGCGGGGTCACGAGAGCGCCACGACAAGCGCGCTTCTGGCTTCGCGCGGCGTGAAGCACACCCCGGTGACTCGGGGAGCCGGATTGCGAGTGGCCGCGTGCCGCTGCCTGATCGTAGAGGGCCTCTGGCGGGGCCGTTGGGGCTTCGTTTGCTGGCGGGCGCAGGGGGCGGGAATGAAGGACCAGCAGTAGAAGTGGTGATCGTGGTTTAGCCAGTGGTTGCAGTTGTAGTGCTAGTAGTAATATGTCGTGATAGTGGTTGTCGGGGAGTAGTAGTAGTAGTAGTAGTAGTAGTAGTAGTAGTAGTAGTAGTAGTAGTAGTAGTAGTAGTAGTAGGAGTATTATTATTATTAGTAGTAGTAGTTGCAGTAGTAGTCGTAGTCGTAGTTGTAGTCGTAGAAGTAGAAGTCGTAGTAGTCGCAGTCGTAGTAGTAGTCGTAGCTGTAGTAGTAGTAGTAATAGTAGTAGTAGCAGTAGTAGTGGTGGTGGTGGTAGTAGTAGTAGTAGCAGTGACAGTAGTAACCGTAGTAGTAGTAGTAGTAGTAGTAGTAGTAGTAGTAGTAATAGTAGTAGTAGTAGTAGTAGTAGTAGTAGTAGTAAT